ATTTCCATCCTGAAAATAAAAATATCATGGGTATTAAAGTTTTTAGATTAAACCTATAATTAATTATCTTGCTTGTTATAATACATTGACTACCACTTTTATCATCACTAATTAAAAATGTCTGCTAACTCTGAAATTTTGCTGCCTTGGTTAGTGGCATCTATTGTTTTCATGTGTAAATATGTATATATTTATGTAATATGAGAACTTTCTGGTTCTTGGTATGATGAGTTCTATTCTTTGGAGACCCAGAATGTTTTGCATTATGTCTTGGGCATCTGAGGGTTCTATACACTCAGTTTTCCTGATGGCAACCCGTTAGGATAAAGGGGCCCTGACATTGGTGTCGACAGTGGTAGACTGGGGTTTCTTGGCACCTGACAGAGAGTCCAGAGTCCCAGCTTCCATGTGGTCTTCACATCAAGCAGCTTTTAAAATGACTCTATGACATTGCACTTACATTTCCTTCTTCCCACAAAGTCTGGAGCTGTTGCCCAAAGGATTGGAAGCCATTTAGTTCCCACTGCTACTTCATTTCCACTGATGAGGCATCTTGGAGAGAGAGTGAGGAGAAGTGTTCCAGCATGGGTGCTCATCTGATGGTGATCCACAGCGAGGAAGAGCAGGTGCATCCTGGGAGAGAGTGGGGCCTGGGCCTGGCCTGCTCTCTGCCTCTTTTTATTAGGAGGGAGTTTTGTTGACATGGGTGTTGCTGATGTGGCAGAAGCCTTTCCATCAGGAAGCTGGAAAGGTTGCTTCAGCCTTGGCTTTCTACACCTTGCCCCTGCTTCAGTGAAGCTGAACAACCCACAAGGAACCATAGCAACAGAAATGCAATGCCTGAGGGTGGAGGGAAGGATGAAATGTTTCTGCTTGAAAGAGCAGTGTGTGATTACAGTACTCTAATGCTTCCTGTAGTACCCGCTGCCTAACAGAGGAGGGCGCAGAGCTGACTAGGGAAAGGGGATCAAATCAGGAGAGTCACAGCCAACCATCAGAAATGAAATATCTGAAGTTGTGAATGGAGAATGCTTAAATCTGCTAAATTCTCTCATGCACAACATTCAAGAATGGTGTTGGGGAAGAAAAGAGGGGAGTAAGTCTGAGATTGTTTCCAGTGTCATGGAAATCAGGCCTCTGAGTGATGACTTTGTGTCCTGGTCAGCCAGAGAAGATGGCACTCCTGGGGTGGGGATGGCTCCTCTGTTCCTTGATCCTTTCTTTGTCTTCTCATCTCTGTGTGACCAGAAAAAAGTCAGTCAAAGTGTCACAGTGTACCTCTAAAAGGTATAATTATTGTGTATTTATCTATAATTTGAGAACTATTTAAGGGCCTAGAGAAATGAACTAGGATTTGATTATTATGTATTTGCATAGGTGCATCATATTGGACCTATAATTTTGTATAGTTAAAATAATTTTCAAAAGATCTTATAAAAATTCTATAACAGAAAAAGAAGCACTCCATCCAGGCTGAATGCTTTATCTTTCTTTCCTCTTAGGATTTCATCACCAAGATCCTGGATTCTCAAGCTGCTTATTATATTGGCCTTTCAGAT